TTTTTTTCTGGGGATTTATTCAGCTGATGTTGCAATATTAAAAAATGACGTACAATAATTTTACATCTTTGCAGCTGTTCCAGTTTGATGCCGGTAAGTGGATTCATATCAATGACTCCCAGCTAATGCCTTTTGCTTTGGAGGGATGGGTGGAGCTGCCTGTGAGTAATAGAAGATTAGATTTTGGATAATCCGAGACTGAACATACAAGAACCGTGTAACTAGTGCATATGTGGTACCGGGGCAAAAATACACTGGAAGTGCAAAAAATTAAAACAAAAAGTTAGGCAATGAGGGGGTTTAAGTTGTGTTTTTACTACTATAATAGCAAGGTACTATTTACTTGTTACAAGGTAACAGTTTTGATATTTTAAGGATATTATTATTGTATCATATATCTAAAAACTTAAATCCGTAAATATTTCACATGTACTAGGTAATTTAAAAAGTACTATTTTAAGTTATATTTCTTGGTCCCGCCTAAACAAAATGTGTTCGCTCCTAATTTCCCTCATACGTACCTAGTCAATATTTGATTCGTACTCTAAATGTACAAAGTATTTACATTGTACATTGACGGCTCTAATCTCAAGCCTTACCAAGAATTTCACCCAAGTAGATTTTTTAAAAGGTCAAATGTTTCCAAGTTCAATAAAGCTTCACGCTCAACCACAGCTTGTTGTCAGATGATTTGCCCGACTCACGGGTGAACTCCTGCCGTGCAGCTCAGATGTTTCCCACACCTGTACATTTCTTTCACTGCTGTGGGACGTAGATTCACCAACTCAGTCACATGCAGAGCTGTTTAACTTCAGTATGAGGGACGACAGCATGGCACCGCTTCATAAACCACAGCTCCTCTTTGATGTGTTGTTTTTCATGGGCGAGGAAAGCCTCACGGGTTGGGACTTTTCCGCCTTCACCACCATCTCCTCCTTCTCCACCTCCTCCTTTAACCCAGCTGCCATCTCACTTCCAGCATATGTTGACCAAGGTTTTGGGTGAGCGCACCAAGCAGGAACGGCACTAGTGTGTGCACAGCGTGTTTGAGAACGAGACCGTACCTGCAAATCATTTACCAAGGGTCATTTGAAAGAGCGGAAAGCCAAAGGGCAGCACTGTGCACTGAGCTGCATGTGACTCTGCTCTGCATGGGAAACACTGAGCTTGCTAACATGTAATTAGCTGTTACTATTTTCATTCTGCATTGCCTCGAAGCAGCACAGGGCTGTTGGTTGTACACCCTGCGCCAGGAAAGTTTAAGGCTGGCTTTTGAGTCTTAGCCTTTACTCTTCAACTTCATCTATGAACTTTCTGTATTGGTCTGAGCAGAGACAGCGGGGGCCGTCCTGGCCAGAGGACCCCTCCCTGAAATGAATGATCGCTCTCACAGAAGGGAAACTTAAAAAAAGCGATCCTGAATGAAAAACAAGCTCAGGTTTTTTTAAGGATCATGGCAATATCCTCAAAATGGAAGACTTTACATAGAAGCAAAGAAAAGTCCTGCTGTATTCTAAAACAGATGTTGTTTTCAGTTAAAAGCAGAAAAAGAAGTAGTTTTACACTTTAGGAAGACCATGGCCAGCTATTGTGCACTAAGTGGAAAACAGGACTGTCCTCCCAGGGGATCTCTCAGTGACTTTGACGTTAAAAGCTCATTTTCCTCTTCCCTAAATCCTGCTGCACCGAACATCATCCAAACTGCAAAGCTTATGCAAACTCCTGGCACCGCTTCAAAGCAGGTCTGGTGTCTGCCTCACTTCCTCTGCCCCCTTTCCTCTGCTCCTTCACTTCTCTACATCTCGAGCGGCGTTGGAGCAAAAGCTACTGAAGAAGCAGGACAGAAACTAGTTGCAGCTCTAACCTAGATCACTGAGTGGGTGATGAAATGGAAATAAAACCGATTGGCGAATGGGGATTCATCAGATACGTAGAGTCCATAATAGGAGTGCCTCTTTTTCGACAAAATACCGACGCTAACAAACAAAATCCTTTACAAGCAACAGCTTTTCAATATATAATGAGTGGAGAAGGCAGGACAAGAGGAAGATTGTTTTTCAGAGAAGACAGACTTTTAAAAAAGGCAAAGAAACACTTTAGAGGAACAACTTGGCTACTCTGCATCACTGAGCCGAATGTGAATCTTCAGATGAGCTTTTAAGTATTTTAGGATCATTAAGAATTAATGTTGATAATACATTTCATTAATAATTCAAATGGTGGTTTATGTCCATGCTCATGTTTTAAATGCGTTCAGTACTTTCTTGGTGGTCAGTATGCTAATTCAGAAAAACAATTTAAAGCAAATCCAGTCCAAAACCAGTTATGCTGAAGAAGTATACTTTCCAATACTCATACTGGTAGAAACAGATATAGTAGGATAGGATATTGCAGTACGCCAACAAATACCAGGATGTCCTATCAGATTATATTTTGCAGCATGCAAGCCAGTATGATTTTCCCGCTATTCTGACCCACAATCGTCAATGCAGCAGATATATGACCAAGACCAGGCCCTCCCACAGAAATGACCGGGCCACTAATAAGGTCCGATGAACGGGCCCTTTCTGCTTTACTCAAATCAAGGCATGCGCATGCTGTCTTTTGCCTTCTTAACACATGCATGTAAACTGAGAGAGACTTACTCAATGACGGGGGCTATATACAATTCACTCCAACATTAGCTAATAGTTCAGATCAGTAAATTTCTCAGGTCATGTCGCACCTGACATCCCAGTGCTCCCACTGCAATCCTCCCTCCTTTAAAACAGTTTGCTCAATATACCGGTCTAAGACATGCATATGCAGAACAGAATTAAAGGTAAAACAAATCAACAGAGTTCCCCTTAAACACATTTCCACAGCAAGGTGTTATCATAAGCAGTGAAACCTGTCGGTTTAGTATTAAGTAACCAACACATTTTGTGTGCCACGCCATATGGGACATTATGTCTGACAATATGACTAGAAATATAAAAGAACGTCATTATGAAGTTGAGTTTGTACCCTAGTTTGTTGCAAGTTTGTGTACACCATAAAGTATCCAGTTTCAACTTTTCTTAGAATTCAAGAGCTCATTTCAGGATTTTCTTTTCTTTGATTTGCACCTATGTTATTGATCCTTGGATGCTGAATGTGTTTGCAGTTGGAAGAGCTCATTGACTGATTTCTATGGATGCTGGGAGGATATTCTCAGGTCAGCTTGTGTGTGCTGTTTGACTGTATGACTTGTATCTGACTCATACGGTGTGCACTGTATGAAACGCAAATAGGTAAAACAACTATAATATATGGTATTTTATTTCAATTAAGAAATTGACAAGCACTCATCAATCAACATATTAAAACGTTTGTGCCATCTGTTCAAACTCACACGACGGCTCCTTAAAATAAATACTTTTAAGAGGAAATAATACAGACAGAATATGTGAGGCTCAAACCACAAGTACAAACAAATTATCCAAATGTCGAAAGAGACGAAAGGGTCTGAAAATTCCCAAAGTCAACCCCGACTCTCCAAACGAAAAGTGTTTGTATAAAACAGCTAAGTGTTTTTAAAAATACAGAATCTTACAAAAAAGTTTTCATCTTCTCACCTCTTTAAATCACTGTAAAATATCAGCTGGCATTATGACAAGAAATCAGGAGTTTTTTTCATGTATAATAATAAAAAGACAGAATGTGCTTCTGCATTTTTCACATTAGTATTCACATAAGTCATGAGTGTACTGTATCATAAAGGTCCTCCACCCCTCTGATGGTGCTGTGATGGAGACAGGTGCATCGCACATCCCTCCAGCCGCTCCCCGTCACAACATTGTGTGCCGAGCTGAAGATAGACACCGGTGACCATGGTAACAACAAAAGGTGTAGTCAGTCCCGAGACACCCACTTATTTGCAGACACCGTGTCATTAACCATCTTTTCAAACAGTACCCTAAACATGCCGAGGCTATGTAAAACAGTACACTTCACAGCCAAGTGTTCATGTCTTTATAGGTTATTACCAACAGCATTCACATTTTCTGTATATAAAAAAAAACAACAACGACGAAAAAAACAAAACATACTTTTTGACAATTTGTCAACTTTCAAACGGTCCAAAAAAAGAGACAAAATAGCCATCAACGGGAGAGGACTTCAAGAATACAGGTTACAGTACAAAAATGTGGTCCAGGTGGTAGCACATGAAGCATGCATGTGTTTATGTTGCCCTGTTCACCCCTAAAACCCTCATGCGAAGACATACTGTATAAAAAGGCCACATGGCTTTTTCTTCACTTTTAAATGCACGTGTCCAACAACTGGCCTCTTTGTCTGCTCTGCTCATCTTAAGACCGACGAAAGGTGCTTTGTTCCCGTATTGGTGGACTCCGCAATAGACATGGAGCCTCGTAGAGTCACTATGAAGTTTGGTACATGAACATGCTCCTGAAGCCATTTACGACTGGCTCGCACTACTGACAAACAAAAGTCACAGACAGTTACTGTGATGGGAGCAGTTCACGAGAGGAGACAGATATGTAGCTTCAATGTTGTCAGGTAGAAAACGTGTCCACTTAAAAAAAGAAAAACAAATTGCTTGGTTGATCTTGACAGTTTCCTTTTTATTTTTTAAAAGCCCCAAACTTGTAGGACATTCTCAGTATTATGAGAGGCATGTTTAATTATGGTTTAAGGAATAGTTTGACATTTTGGTAAATTAGTTTATTTGTTGTTTTTGCTGTGTTAGATGATCGATACCACTTTCAAATCTTTCCACAGCAGCCAGTTAGCTTAGCCTAGCATCACTATGATCAGGAGGAAACAGCTAGTCTGGCTCTGACCAAAAATGTTTGTAAGGATTCAACAAATGAGACTTAAAGTGGCTTTAATGAGTGAGCTTTACAGGTGCTGGTAGGTGGATTTTGTTACCTTTGGACAGAGCCAGGCTAGCCGTTTCCCCCCGTTTGTAGTATTTATGCTAAGCTAAGCTACTTGGCGGTTGGTCGTACAGACATGAGAGTGGTATTCATCTTTTCATTTAACAGAATCAAAATGTAATACTAAAATAATTAATTAAAACATGAAAATTACCAAGATTGAAGCTGCAAGTTTCTCACTTGAAAACATCGATTTGATGCGTGTGTGCACACAAACCTCGAGCAGTTTCTTACCAAGGGCTCTGTGTTTGTTAACGGATCAGTGGGAGTATACTGTATGAGCATGTAAACAAAAGGCCGTTGGGCTTGAGCTCGAGTCTGCTGAGCTCCCTCTTCTTTAGATCACCCCAACAGGACGTGCCTAACCAGAGTCTAACTTTCTTTCTTCTCTAAGTGCAGAGGCTTAGTGAAGCCCTTCACCCCCTTTTTTTCATTTCTTCAACATTTGTACTGCGGAAATAACAACAAAAATATAACTTAAGATAATCTCTCTAGGCACTGTTTGATTTCCAAGGCTTTTTGTTGTAGACTGTGATAAAAGGTCAGCAAACAGATAAAAAAAAAAAACAGTAAAAAGAAACACCAGAGAGTGATGGTTCTGCCGACCAAACACTTTCTCCTCTGTGATGTATCAACGTCCTCCGAGTCAGCTCACGCAGCCAAACAGACTCGCTCTGTGGTGGAGAGGCTGTAAGGGCAGAAAGTATCTAAAGGGTAAGTGTGTAGAAGTTTCAAGGTTAAGTGTCAGTTCCAGTCTTTAACCTGTGCTTCTCCTTCGTAAAAAAAAAAAAAATGAAACAAAAGTCAGATGTTAAGCCATAATCTTCTGGGGAATCTCTATAGAAGCTTTGACGAAGATGCAGTTGTCTCGGACGTAGTTCCTCTTCTTGATCTCGTCGTGAGAGATGAACTTGGGGTAGCCGAAACCCAGGGTGCTCTCGTCCAGCGAGTTGCGGCTGCTGCTGGGCTTCTGGAAGTTCTTCCAGTTAGGGTCGGGGTTGAAGGTCTCCGTGATGTGCTGGGGTTTGGAAAGCGACGGGTCGCTCTGGTCCATGATGGAGAAAGTCACCTTGTAGGAAAAGGGCCACTCCAGCAAGCTGTCGTACTCTCCGGGTAACACGCGGATGTAGACGGAGAGGTGGGAGCCCTCGCCGCTGCCGTTACCGTTCAGGAAGGCCGACACCTGCAGCTTGTAGCCGTAGCGGTGAGTGTAGAAAGGCGGGCTGAAGAACTCGTGATTGCTTCTGAGTTTGGCCTCCTGGAGTTTGCGCGAGTAGTCGCTGAGCTTCCAGATGAGAACGCCGTCGTGACTGACGGACAACTCCTCCATCTCCCTCCGAAGCTCCAGGATCTCCTGCCGCTGACGCCCCACCAGGTTACACATCATAGTCAAGTGAGACTTGGTGGTGTCTTCCAGGTGACGACTGATAGCCAGTTTGGGGCACTGCCAAAGAGATGAATTATTAAAAAGCTGCTGCACAGTGAGAAAGAGAGGAGATGCATAACACATACAGAGGTTTTTATACAAGAAAATAGAATAAAGAATTTAGCCGTATTTTTTTTTTGTGTGTGTGTTACAGTGCCAGGTTTCAATATAGGATGATGAGATAAAAGCAACACCCGTGCAACATCAGTTTCATCCTCATATGCACAAATAATCTGGTGAAGACTGATGAAAAAGGATTGCTGATGAATCTCATTATTTTTAGCTCAGCACCTTTATGTTTGCATTTGGGCATAGAGTAAAGTCCTGCTCCTTTTTTTGTAGCAGTGTAAATGATATGACGTGTGTGACTTTTGATTTGACTGAACTTTGAGATGAAGGGGTGTGACGTTTGTGGCAAATTTTGATGGATTTTTTTTATTTTACAGCAAATGTGGATGCTGTTCGTATATGTTCAGTTCAGTGTGCGTTATCTGAATCATGTATTTTTTTACATCCATGAACAGTCACAGATAGACAAAGATATGGATAATGTGATTATTAGATTTAATATTCACTCTACTGCTGTGGAGACGTGTTTTTGCTTTCTGTCTATAAATGCTGTACATCAAGTTTTCCACAGAGTATGCGGAGCGAGTATGACGCTCATCTACAGCTCTTCCTCGAGCGTTTCCACATTTTGTCAAATTGATGTCAGTTTCAAAAATAGACTATAGAATATAGTGTTGCTCTCATTAAAAGAGAGCCTACAGGCACAGTGCTGTATGTTCGAAAAGAGAAAAAGCATTACTTTGGAAACACTGAGCAATGATTTGAAGGAAATATAATGGAAAAGACGCATGTAAACAACAAAGACAAACAAGCTTGGGAGTTGATTAACAGTAATAGTGTTAACAGAGCGAGGGAATGATCTTTTAAGGTTAAATGATGCAGGTCAGTCTTACCCTGTGCTTGCAGCCGGCGTCTTTGAAGGGGCAGAGAACGAGCGCGCTGCCGCAGTTGTCCTTCACATGGTTAGCCAGATCCTCTCGGGCGATGTTGGGTGTGCCGCACTGGTTTGGGCACTGGACAGGAAACCGAGGGCAGTGGTACTGGTGGTTCTGCAGAGGAGTCAATGATAGTGTTAATGGGTGCACTGCTGACCTACAGCATGAGTGATAAGAACACATGCTGCACGGTGGGGTTGCAGGTTAATGGTTGCACAAGGGAAAAAGGTCCTTAAAAGTAAAACAAAAAATACATGTGGTATTAAAAATGAGGCTGCAAAAATAGACCAGACAAGAAAGAAAACAACTGATCGTGCAGCCGCACGATCAGTTGTTTTCTGAAGCCGCAGAAACGATTGGGACCATTCTGTCAATAACATGTACAAATCTGGCAACTGGTAATTTGACAATTAATTGTCTATTGGTTATTGCTTTTCCTTTTCTTAACTTACAGTAAACTGAATATATTTGTGTTTATAGATTTTTCGCCGGACAAAAGAGGTAATTTGGTCACCCTGTTGTCAAGGACATTTTGTCTTTCTTCTGATGTTTTACAGAAAAAAATATTAATAATAAAAATAATCTGCAGATTGGTCAGTAATGAAATCACATTAGTTTAACTAATTAGTTTTAATTTCATTATCTTTTATCCTTTTCTTGATTAATTAAATATTCATATAAACGATAAAGAGTCAGAAAAAAAGTAAAAAATGTGCAACTTGTTTTGTACGTCCAACAGTCCATAACCCAAAGGTATTCAATTTACAATTATATAACACAGAGAAAAGCTGAATATCTTATAATTACTATTATATTTTTTTGAAAAATTGCTTAAACGATTATTCAGTCGTAGACAATCAACTAATTGGTGCAGCTCTAGATACAAATAATCACGAGTTGCTGCCTGCAGACTAACTAAAAGGAACATGATTGTTTATTTTCCATCCTGCAAGGTAACATTAGTATATCATACCTCTATAAAATCAAAAATATATCAGGAGGCAAAAGGCCCTCAGACTCAAATTATGTTGAAATTAAATGAAAAAAATATAAAAATAAACATCGTAAACGAATTGTGAAACACTTTGTCTAAGATCGGGTTATTACATCTTGGCCCCAAAGGTGGGGGAGGGGAGAGTGACACTGGCTGCTCAGCTTCTGGCTAGATGTGCACAGAGGCAGGCGCTTCAAAACAGCAGCTCACACTAACATCCAGCTGCCACAGGGCAGAGACACCATGAACCACAGAGAGCCTTCTCTGGGCCATCCTGAGGCTGGAAACCCTCCAAGAGCCACATGCAGTACGGATGACAGGTACGACGATACTGACAGGAGTCCCATTTTGAGAAAGACTGACTCAGTCATGCCCAATATAACAAAGTTATTTCACTGAAAAAAAAAAGATACAGGTGGTAAACTTTGTGTGAAACTGACCTGGATTGTGTCGAAGACAAACTCCTTGCCGCAGTACTTGCAGGGCTGTGTGCGTTTGGGACACTCGGCCAAGCCGTGTTGGGACAGCAGACGACGCATCATCCGAGCTCCACACTTGTTCTCACAGTAAACACTCTCCTGAGGACACACACCCTGGTGGTTCTGGGATTGAGAGGACACACGTGATTACAATTTAAAGCAGGGTTATAAAGTCAACACATGTAATACTGTAGATAAAGTAGGTGTTACTGTTTATCAAATGCTGTTTATATACTGCAGTTATTATAGCTCAAAACTGCGTTTTAATGAAGAAAATATATATAATTCCTCTGAAAGCATTGAGGCTGTTATGCATTATGCAATAACCTAAATGTATCAAATTTACAACATTTTGAAACTTTTACAAAATCAAATTTACTCTGATGTCTCTGATTGATTCTGATTAAATGTATTGATCGATCCAGACAAAAATAACAAGTAAGTCAAGGAAATGTCATGTACAAGTATTTTCAAAATACTATAATCAGACACTATTTTGATTATAGATGAATCATATAAGTATTTTTTTCTTGCCTAACTATCAACCATTCTGCGGTTGTAGTGTCTAGTATGAGAGGATCTGCTGCTTTTCTCTTGTTTTATATCACTGAATTGAATATCTTTGGGTCATCTCGGACCCTGGGAAATATGAATGAATCTCACTATTTTTGTCATCTCATAGACTAAACAAACCATCTATCAATTGAAAAATAATCCGCGGATGAATGATCAATGAAAGGTTTTGAATAACACACAGTTGTAAACATGAGTGAGTAATTCCAATGTGAGAGCCAAACGGTGGATGAATGCCACTGCAACTGTGTGCAGAGGGGCGACCATGTGGGCCGGAGTAAACGGAGGAAGGGCGGTGGAAATGACAGAGGTGTTAGTGACGAGACTCTGAGGCACTTCAGCCGGGGAAAACACATTCAGCATGAGAGACCCACTCAAAAGGTTCTTTCCTTTTGCCAACGCACGTGTTATTTCAACAGAGACTAACACACGTGCATTAGTCTCTCCTGCTGCTTTTCACAAAGACGTCTTTCATATACTGTAGGCATGGAAATTACATGGTGTCACTCTGGGTTGTTTACATAAAGCTCCCGCTGAGTTGTAACAGGAAAGAAATATAATAAAAACAGGTTTGGTGTCGGTGTTTACCTCGTAAGCTTCACCGGTAAACTCGCTGCCACAAAACTCGCACTTGACCTTGCGCTTGGGGCAGTCGTGCTGCAGGTGGTCGGGCAAGTCGCGGCGCGTCAGCTTGACGGAGCAGCGGTTGGGGCAGGGTATCACATTGAAGGCGCAGGTGGTGAAGTGGCCCTGAGGGAGACACACACACACACAAACAGACGCATGTTAGGAAATACACAAGTCACAGTGTTTGATAAGGCAGCAGATTAAAACAAAAAAAAAAAAACGGAAGATGGAGGAGAGACAGATGAGAGGTTATCAAAGCTTCTCACCTGCAGCTGCTTCATCTGGCCGGTCCAGCGGCAGCCCTCCTCACTGTGGATGCAGCGGATGGGCAATGCCAGGATCTGTTGCTCCAGCTCTGGGTCCGGGTAGATCTGGAGAAGATGAGCAAGACGAGGTCAGTGTAGCAGTGGCAGGAGCTGACCAGGTCATGTTGGAAGACTGTAATATACCACTTTCATAAAGGGTATACCATGGGGTGAAACTGCATTTAACCAATAACGCATGTAAAACCAACCGAACTAGCAACAAAATGCAAATTTATGAAGCTGAAAACAGGGCTTTTAATGGATGATAAGCTGATATTTTGCCACGTTGAGAGGCAATCAAAATATATAATATGTATCTTGCACTTTTAAACAAACAAGATAAATTGTGCAAGTATGTCACCCTAACCCTGTTTCAAGTCTTTATGCTAAGCTAGGCTAAACAAATCCTCCAACACTCCAGGTTAATGAACACAGTTGAGATTGGTATTGACTGGTGTCTCTCGGAAAGACAGATAAGACTGAACTTTATTTATCTCGAGGGAAATCATTGTGCGGCAGTCACAGTACAAAGTTGTGCACATAGAAAATATCAATGAGGTGCAAATTCATAACATACTCAATACCAACTATATTAACAGCATGTTGGTTTCTACACTATATCATACGAGACTGAATGTTGAGCTACAGACACACACATTGGAAAATTAAACTGTTGAGATTGAGTTAGCAAACTGCAGCAGTGAGTCGACCCGGCCGCTGCAGTGATAATGAGTTAGTATATGGGTTTATGGGACCTTTGAGAGAGACAGGGAGCATAGGAAAAGATTTATTTTCCACAGTCACTGAGCGATGAGGATGAGTCAGTTTTCAGCCCAAACACCCCAAATCCTCCCCTACAGTACGCTGTCCTGGGGATTTACAGCTCTGCTCTGCATCTCCATCCCCCCCCATGCTGTCACACGAGCAGAGGACTGGTCAAACAAGACAAGCCACTTCCTCAAAATGCCACAACAGCCCTCGAAACAAACAACAGCTCAGTAACAGCCCGACTGCGCTCACGTGCCTCTGCACGAAACCTGGCAGCCATCGCCTTGAAATTTAAATTTTATTTGGAAAATAATGTACAATAAAACAATTAACTCACTCATTGTTTAGCTGCTATGTTAGGGGATATATGCCTTTGCCAAAAAAATTATCATTTAAAACTGTTAAATATGATCTACAGACATAGATATATCTAACATTAAAACAGATGCTTGACTAGCGGCGTTTTTACAGTAGAGGCAGACGTTTTTGAGGACAGAGGACTCCTTTCAATCGATGCCAAAAGCTGCTCAGACACAGGGATGATCATAAACTGTTTGTTGGGTTTTAAGTCTCTCATGCGTAGTTCAGAATTAAGCTCTTGTCCTTTTGTTTCACTCTCTCACTTTACAACGGGGATATCACCTGTGAGGGAGCCACCCTCCGCCCCCCGAATACAGTTATTCACTATCTGTGTTCCCCCTCTGGCACAGTTTGATTAACGCCTTTAAAAAACAAAGAGTTCAGTTGAAATTTAGTTACAATTTTCTTTTCTTCTGGGAGAGATTTATTTTAGGGGAAAAACTTAAAGGTTGGATCAACTGAACGTACTTCTTTCCCACTGTAATGTGACTCTTTTTTTTTTTTTGCCATGCTGACTGCATGCACACACACACACACACACACACACACACACACACACA